TGTAAATGCTAAACAAGAAAAACATGCACTGTGCATGCATTTCTGACATGTTAGGTGATACATGGTAAGTGACACATTAGGTGCTGCCCAGGTGATTCTAACACATGGCAACTCTACGAGACAGAGCAGAACCATCTCATAGTTTTCTTTGGAAAGATGGTCAGCGAAGGATAGGAAGATCCCCCAGCAAGATGGATTGAAGAAGTGACTGCAACAATAGGCTCAAGTGTGTCAGAGATGATGAGGATAGGACAGAGGACATAGGGTCACTATGAGTCGTACTCGACTCAATGGCACCTAACAAAAATAGCACAGTTTTCCAGGCTGTAATCTTTACAGGAGCAGGTTATTAAATCTTTCTCCTGTGGTGTCCCAGAATGGGATCAAACTTCTTTACCTTTTGGTTAATCACTGCACCACCAAGGCAAATAGATACCACACTTTAATGAATATTAACTATTGTCATGAATAAGGAGCTTTGATGATACAGTGCTAGCTAAAATTGGTTTGACAGCGATGAGCATTTGTTCACTCTCGCACATACTCTCATGACCTTGCACACCATTCCCCCACCCCTCCTGCAGCCTCACTCAGTCCTGGATGCCCTCACAGCTGACAGCCCAGGCCCCTGGAGCCAGGAAGAGCAGGTACATTGGCCTCTCTGCATTGTCCTGTCGTTTAGAGGGTCTACTACTTGGAATGGAGCATCATCCTTGGAAAGGTCAGCAAACAGGAAGACCCTGGATGGGACGGATCAACAGTGTCTAAAGCGATAGGCTCAGACGTGACAGACGATGTGTATGACCAGGGCAGGGTTTGGACGCGTTGTTTATATGGTTGGTGAGTTGTACTCCACTGGATGGCAACTGACAACAGCCGCACCTTGACGGGCACACAAGATGGTGAGAGGGGATGGTTCCGCCTTTAGATCAGAGAAGCCTTGTGGGCTTACCCAATCAGCAAGGGAAGTCTAGGTTTACTTGTGCTTCCATACTCATCTATAAGGAACAATTTCACAAGATTTTCACCATCCATCCCACCGGAAACTGTGTACTACGGATGAGGAAGTAAGCACAAGCAAGCACAAGCTTACCTTGCTTGGGTAAAGGCCCCGCCCCGCAGAGAAGGCATCCCACCCGAAGCCCCGCCCACGCTGGGTTAAAGAGCGGGGCTCAGAGCCTTGACTCCCTTCTGTTCCTCCCAGCACCCCCAACCTGGGCTGCAGCTCCCCACCACCTCTCTCCACCCTCTTCCCCACAGTAGAAACTTTCCTCTCTCCTCCTGCCAGAAGCGTAAATTGCCCCCAGGAATGCGCTGCGTCCCACAGCTCCCCTGGCAGTGGCCAGCAGCCGTCCTGGGGTCAGGCCTGGCCCCACATCAAAGGCTGGGGATCGCTAACACTGAGGCTCCTTGCCCGCCGCCACTCTCTCCTCCCCTCCCCTCCCCTCCCGCAGGCCTTTTGGCTTCCAGGGAAAAGCACATGGTAGCACTTAAGCTCCGGGAGGACGCTTTTCCTTCTTCACCCTTGCCACTCCCCCCCACCGCCACAATGAACTACTTGTTAGGAGACTCACTGGGTTTTACTTGATGCTCTTTCTGCTCCTGTGGCCACTGCCACCATCTCCTTCCCAAGACTGGGATGGCCAGCATGGGTGCAGGGGAGATGATGCTGGGGACTAGGACTCTGTAACATCAGGGGAGAAGACCCACTCAGGAAGTAAGGGTGGTGGTTAAGGGAGGGCTCCGAGCTGGCTCTCTAACTCAGGAGGTCAGCATGAGCATTTTCCACATATCCAGAGCCACTGCGCTTTCCATCCATTCGAGCCCAAAAAGCAGCCCTTTTAGCCTGGAAGCAATACACTCTTTAATGGCAGGGCCCACTGGGGTGACCAAAAGAGGGAGAACACTTCCAACTTCTGATATTTACTCTATCGGGTGCATCTTCCAGCAAATTCTGAAAATCAAGGGTGCAAGGAGCTCACGGAACAGTCAGTGGTGATCTAGAGACCCCTAGTGGCCAAAGGTCTTCCCTTAGAGCTTTGATTCAGTCCGTCCCAGACCCAATGGTGGTCTGTGCTTCTTCAGCCCCAGAACTCCAGATCCCAGCTCCTGAGGAAGCTTCATTGGTTGGCCACTCCCATGCACCAAATCTGCCCCATTGTAGCCAGAAGTGTGCTTCACAAAGGGAAAATGAAGAGCCCCACCTGGGGGATCTTGCAGACTCAAGTCAAGGCAGGGCAATCTAGAATTCTAGGAGTTAGGATATGATGAGGGCCAGGGAGCTAGGTCCTGGGGATCGTATGTTTAGCTTATGAGGGAAAGAGGCTGAGGTGATGTTCCACTAGCTCAGCCGCCCCCCCCCCCCCCCCCCCAAAACACACCCCCCCCCTCCCTCTCCCGCCGCGCCCCCCCCCCCCCCCCCGCCTTTCCCTTCCCTCAGCCCCTGAGTGCACAGCACACAATCGTGAGCCTGTAACGGGAAAAGTCACTGAAGGGGCTTTGTTTCCACAGCTTGCAGACGTTGTAATGCTGCCCAAGTTCAACTCTGGAAAAGGAAATAGCCAAAACCTTACGCCATACAAGTGGCTGCTAAAAAGTGGCTTGTGGTACTGGGAGGAGAGGAAGGGCGAGGGCCCCCTGGAGAAGGGAAAGAAGGGAAAGGGTGGTGCTGCTTTTTTTTTTTTGGCAGAGTGCAGACACCACACAAGCTTTCCACATCTGGGCCCCACCACTGATTTCCTCTCTCCCTTTCATTCATTCACTCAGACTCTGGTGTGGCTGGACCCAGTCCTACATTGGATGTAAAAGATAACAGTTAAACAAAACAGAAATGTCTGCCCAGGGACCCCAGATTTCAGGAGGGAGAGAGGATCAGAGGATGATCAAGTTCCATAGCCCCTATGCATGGAAATATGTTGTCTTCCCTTCTCAGTGGCCAAATCCAGTTGGAGACAGACCCTATGTAAACTTCCCTCTTCCTGGGATACCAAGGCCTTGGCCTCACTCCTGCAGAGCCATGGCACACTTCAAGCACAATGCATTTTGCACCAGCTCCCCTTACTTCAGTCCTGTCCACTAATCCTGGGAAAGGTTTGGGGATCTTGTTTCCCTCCAAGAATCTGAGTAACCGGACCTCCAGTCCCTAGGTTCTATGATCAGTGTTCTCAAACATGCCAGACAAAACTGAAGACAGAGGTCTTCTCTTTAAGAGAGGTCTATGACTAAGGAGGATAGAAGGAGAATTGATTCCTTTGAGCTGTGGTGCTGGAGAAGAGTACCATGGACTGCAAGGAAAAGAGATTCATCCTGGAAAGGGTCAAACCGGGCTGCTCCTTGGAGGCAAGGATTCTAAGGCTCCGTCTGACATACTTTAGACATCTTGCAAGGAGGGACAGGTCCTTGGAGAGGGACATCATGCTTGGTAGGGTGGAGGGACAGCGCAGAAGGGGAAGGCCTCCTATGAGATGGATTGATTCAGTGGCTGGGGTAATCAGGATGGGTGTGTCGGAGGCAGTGCGATTGGTACAGGATAGAGCGGAGTTTAGGGCTGTTGTACATAGGGTCGCTAAGAGTCGCAAGCGACCCAAGAGCACATAACAACAATAAGGCCCTGGTGAAGGAGCTCAGGCTCAACCCCTCTGACTCCCACAGGTGGCAGCAGGGAATTATGATTAAGACCAACAGCTCTAAACTTTAGCTTCTTTCCTTACCATCTACTGTATGCTCCTGAACAACCTGCCCTCCCCATAGAAATGGAATTCCTGTGAATGAGTAACTACATGCAAAGTTCACTTGTATCTGACACTTGTTCTTGTTGTTGTTAAATGCCGTTGAGATGTACACGACTTATAGTGACACTATGAACAAAAGACCTGAACACTTGCGTAACTTTCATCATTTCTCCATGTTCATAGAGTTTCTGGAGGCAAGCTATTTCAGAAGTGGATGCCACTCCTGCTTCCAAGCTTGTTTTAATCAGGGAGGTCCACCAAACACTGTCCCCCACAGGTAACCATTCTTGCATTTGACACACCAGTGTCACAGTGTTTAGCATCACAGCAACGCGTTACCTCTGTACAGCAAATGGACAGACCAGTGCTATACAACCTAGAAGAATGTTTGACCAAAACCAATTAAAACCAGGCCTGACGGCTGCAGATTAAAATCACCCACTACATACCAAGTTCACTTGTGTCTGACATTTAGTACCCAATAAGTAAATGGTCCCCAATAGGAGGCTCTTTCTAGCCAAACTTTCTAACTTGGTGGTCAAGAGTCAAGAATAACACCCATTCTAGGCAGTCTGGGACAGGTTCTACTTGTATATTTTGGTGCAGCCTAGAGAAAAAAAAATGGCTCCATGGGGGTCTCATTTGTATTACTCCCACGGTTCTTAAGACTTTAGTCTGTGGGAAAAATAAGCCTATTCCTAGTCCAGGTCAATGCAAGGTAGGGCCTGAGAACAAAACTGGTCTTCTTATCCCAGGGTAAGAAAATTCCCAGAACTGAGCAGAAAGGGGAAATAAAAAACAAGGACAAGAATAAGATTTCACTCAAGAATGTCTTTATTGAAGAGTTTGTAAGAAAAAGGCAGGCCCCTCTTATAAAGGAGCAATGTTGCCTCCCAACAGCAGAGGGAATGAGACCTGCGTGACTTCCTAGAAGTCACTCTCTCTGGCTTGACTGGTTCCTCTGCCTTGGTAAACACTGCTGTGTGTCAAACCAAAGCTAGGAGTCCCTGCCCACCTTGCTCCCAGCCTCTCCTCCTTGCGCCCACAACCCAATTTCCTGTAGCCATTGGCAGATGGCTTTCTGCAGGCCCAAGGGTAGATGTGCTAGGTCTCCTAAAGGAGTAAAGTGGGTTTTGCTTTGGAAAATTTAATTAGGAATGTAAAATGGTTTCAACTCATTCTTGTCCAACCAAGGACCAATTACATCCAGACCCTTTGAAGAGAAAGGGACCATAGAATTTTCCATCTGAATGTGTACATTTGTGGAGTAAATGGACTATATCACAGTTGTTCTTTATTAGCATGGAAAATGGAAACAACGTTGGAAGAATATATAACACCTGTGTTCAGGAGTCACTGAGTTCTAGAGGCAGAAGGAGAATTGAGGCTTTCTGATCCAACAAGTGCTCCTGTTGGGCACCTTGAAGTCCTGGGGGCGGTCATTCCTCTCCAGCTGGGAGATTGTCCTCAATCCGCCTGATGAACCTCATCCGGATTTCTGTCACACTGTCTCCTTTCAGGGTATCCTGGACAAATTTGGCTTCTACAGCCATCTGGACCTAGGTGACAGTGGGAAATGAAGGGGTAGCTGCATAGCCCTGGCCTCTGAGGAACCACCAGGGATGGGACTATGACAGGCTCACCCACAGCAGTCAAAAACAGGGGAAGCTAGTGTCCCACAGGCATCATCTAAGAACGCAGCTCCAATATTCCCCTGCAGGAGGTGTAATAAAAGTGAGCCCATTAGGGGTTGATAACATGCCCTCCCATCCTAGCAGCAAGGAACCTCACCAAGCAAAATCCTACACGCAGCAGCAGCAGCATCTCAGACAGTAAAGTGCCGGGGTGAGCTAGAGGTCTTTCCTTTCCCTCTCTCTCCTTCATTCATTCATTCAAACATTTATCATATACCCCTACTACAGTTCAGGTGTCTCAGAAGGCAAAGAGCTGCACTCACCATCTCCAAGGCTCCCCGCAACACCCCACACAAGAGATTGGAATAAATAAGGGATGAGTGGTTATCTGGTAGTTCCACAAAGTCCACCAAGGGATTATTTTCCAAAATGAGGGAGAATTCGTCACCCGCTGGGCTCCAGTTGGTGATGCTTGGAGTGATGCCCAAGTACATCTTGAATGCCACCTGTTGGGAACATACAAGCACTAAGAGCAGAGGCTGTACAACAGGGAAGGGTCTAGGAAAATAAGAAAAATTTAAAAAATTAAGAGTAAGCTTTTCTCAGGAACAAAACTTGGTCTCTGCCAAGTGCTGAAGCTTCAGATATTCAAAGAATAAAAAATGAAAAGCATCTATGCATAAATCAGGCCCTCCTTCCTTCTAAGTATCACACATAAGAGCAGTAGTAGTTCAAGTCTGCCTGCACATCTCAATGGATGAGACCAGTGATCAGACAGGCTAGCTGCCTTGAACCTGCCAGCACAGAAAGGAGACAGAAGCCCCTGTCCTCTTTGCAATCTGAACCCACCTTCATGAAAGCAAACATGGATTACTGGGGCTGAATGACTCCAAACCCATCCTTCCCTTGTCTTCCTACCTAATGCTAACCCCTAACTTTCCCTTGGGAAACTCCTTAGGATTGGCATGGAGAGCGCGTTCTACAACAGAAAGGACTCACCTAAAGTAACTGCCAGCACTGAGCTACAGGAGTTGTAATATTAATCAGCAATACTAAGACATATTATTACTAACAACAACATTTACTATATACACAAGAGTATTTATTTTATCCGGATGCTCATGACCATTATATCATTTATTCTTACATTCTTCATTTTAAAGATGAAGTTAAGAGTAACTTCCCTGAATCACTGGAGTCAGAAAGTGAAACCAGATTTTTATGAGATCAAAGGCTATATAGTGTTGACCCCCATGCCAGTGGAGGGCACGTGGCTTAGATTTCCTGGGGCTTTAACCCATATGCCCCATGGTTAATTCTAGCTACTCTTCTTTTTTAAAATAAATAAATAAATGAAAAAATCTGTGCTATTCTCAAACTACTAGGAAGTCTTCCTTGGTCTAAATATCTGCTTAATTGGTCTTTTGGGAGACTTAAGGCTTCTTTAAGGGAGATAAAGAAAGGGGTAAAGCAATGTCTCCCACTGGCAATCCTTCAAGATGACCTCGTGGTCCAGGATAATGACCTTGGCAATGACATCTGCAGTTTCCCGAAAGTCATGGCACCGACCAACATTTGATCGTGCCAAGAAATCTTCAATCAGTCGGACACCAATGTTATAGCCCCTGGGAAGGAAATCAGAAACACGCAGTTACGGGGTGACAGAATGAACATAAGGCTGTTGGTAACAAAGGGAAAACGGAGAGAACATCAAAACATCCCAATAAATGGATGGAATCCCAATAAACAAGTTCAATGGAAACTATGTCTCCAACTCTAAAAAACAATGCAGCCACAGGGTGCTGGTGAGCCCTATTCCTGGCTCCCACAGAACTCACTCACATTTTGTCCAGTTGTTTATTCACATCTTCGTCATTTTCGTAGTCCTTGCACAGCTGAGTGACCAGAGCCCCATAGGTCAGAGTGAAAAGCTCAGAGCTCTAAAAGAGATTCAAATGATAGTCAGGACCAAACAACCCAAGTGCCCATCAACAAACAAATGGACAGAAAAACTGGCACATTCCTACAATGGATTACAATGCAGCACTAAAAAACAATGAAATAGTAAAGTTCTGGTGGCCTAGTGGCAAGAAGCTGTGCTACAATCCTGAAAGCACATGGTTCGAGGACACCAGCTGCTCTGTAGGTGAAAGAGGGACAATCTACTCCTGTGCGATTAACTGCCTCTGAAAACTTGCCAGAGGGTCAGCTATGGGTTGGTTCTGACTCTACGGTACACACAACAACAACACAACATGGGAAAGCTTTGAGAACACTGTTGTTGTTATGTCCCGTCAAAGTCGCCTGTGACTCATAGCGACCCTATATACAACAGCCCTAAATTGTGCTCTGTCCTGTGCCAATCGCACTGTCACTGACACACCCATCCCGATTACCCCAGTTACTGAATCAATCCACCTCATAGAGGGCCTTCCCCTCCTGCGCTGTCCATCCACCCTACCAAGCATGATGTCCCTCTCCAAGGACTGGTCCCTCCTTTCAGCATGTCCTAAGTGAAATATCTCAGTCGCCAAAGGACAAATACTGCCTAACACCATTGTTATAAAATAGAATAGACACAGCGGGGAGTTGAGGAGGGAATGAGAAAAGAGTGATAGAGAATTAACACTGCATTAGAACAAATGAGGGGAAGAAATGTCTGAAAGGAATAAATAATTATGCACTGAATGTATGAGAACAATGTGGAACAAGGGGGTTCATTGTAGGGTGAGCTGGGAAGAGGGAAAGAAAAGGTGAAACAATGAATTTAAAAAAAAAACCCCAAAACTGGAAAAAAAAGAAAAAGGGTGGTGTGTATCTGGATTAGCCCTGATATGACTGTCAGGACTCGAAGGAAGGTCACCTGTGTCTGGTGGGAAGGAATGTCATTCCCTATGGAGCTGCTAAGGAGGATGGACGCAGTGTGAACGTGGCACGCCTGCAGCGAGGCCAGATGCATGAGGCAGTCACTCTTCCAACACACCAAGCAGGCCTTCGACCAACTCAGGGCCTTACCTAGCTGCCAAGCCAGCAGTTCCTAGAGCGAGAGCTGGTCACTCACTCATCCCCCTCGAGTTGGTGCCGACTCAGAGACCCTCCACGGTTTCTGAGGCAGTAAATCATAATGGGAGGACACTGCCCCTCTTTCTCCCACGGAGCCACCAGTGGACTGGAACTACTAGAGATGTATCCTTTTTTTGTTAGCAGCACCACTTGCTTTGGATGATGTCACCAGAACTCCCCAACGGTTCACTTAAAACCCAGCTCAAACTAATTGCCATCGAGCTGGAAACAACTCACAGCTGACTCTCTAGCAGGTTTTTAGAGGCTGTAAATTGCACAGGAGGAAAATGCTCATCTTCCTCTCGAGGAGCAAATAGTGGATCTGAACTGCCTGCCTTTGGGTTGGCAGCACAACTCCTTACCAGCTAGGCCCCCAGAGCTTCTGTGAAAGGCAGACCTGTGTGTCATCAAAGTGTGATTAAGGGCTTCCACAAACCCTTAGAATGTGGTTGCCTACAGATAACTGTACTACTCCCACAGCAACACCCGAGGGGAGCAGGTTCAGGGACCCAGTCCACTGGATCAACAGAAAGAAATTCAGCTCTAGACCAAGTCCAGCACACAGATGACAACCTCTCTCCAAAGTCACCCATCTCAGGGGGAAAGTGATCCTCTCCAACACAGCTAAATATTTCCAGGAAAGAGTGTAATCCTGACACAAATACAATCTTCTGTGTACCTAAAATACAACACTGACCTGTACTGGTTTCCATTACAGTCTCTGCTAAAATCACAGTAACTCTTTTTAGGGAATGCTAAATAACAAAATCCCAAATGAAAGCAGTGCGCTTTATCAGAATTAAGTGAGAAACATTAACAAGGCTATTTGGACAAATGGACTTACACAGGAATGAATCTGAAAAGGCAAGACTGCCACTCAAACAGTTACTTCTGAATAGAGATCTGTCTAACTCTTGGTGGAGAGATCTGTCAGACTCTCTTCGCGGTCCACGGTACATTTAAGACTCTTCCAGCACCACAACTCAAAGGCATCAATTCTTCTGTCATCCTTTGTCACTGTCCAGCTCTTTGATGCATAGCAAGTAATTGCAAATTATGGGAAGCCAAACTTCATACCAAATATTATATGAAAACCCTTGTTCAGGAATTGAAAGAATTACAGATTTATAAGTTAGCATTTCTCTTGTGGCATATCACAGAAAATGAGCTGTTTATTCCCCGCAGACAGGACACAGCTAGGGGTCCCCTACAGAGGGAGTGTTACTTCCTGAGCTATCAAGGCAATCCTTAAGGGTATACCAAATTCTTGCATTTGCGAACCCCTCCCTCCTGAGTCAAAGGGAAGGTTTTCAATAGAAAGAGCTTGGCTTCATTTACAAGGAATTCCTTTTATGATTTGCTTCCCCTGATTATCAATAAATACACAGAAAAACATGAGAGAATTGCTGGCCCCCGGTTTTATGCTCTCTGATCTATCTCATTCCTGGTTGTATGTCTCATTATTAATAATTATAAAATTACTTTACCCTCGGTCTACAACAGCAAATACCATGGCCTGAATCAGGTGCGCCTTAAGTCTCTAAACTGGCATCACTGCTCTTTAGGACTTTGGAGCGGTCCCCGACAGCAGATTTACCTAATATAATCAGTCTTTTTTTATTCCCTGACTGCTGGTGCCAAGAGTGTTGATTGTAAGGCCAAGCAAGCTGAAATTATTAACAACCTTAATCTCTTCTTCCATCATGGTGCTGCCAATAAGTCAAGTGGCGAGAATCTTTGTCTTCCTGATGTTAAGCTTCAATCCATATTGAAGACTACATCTTTGACCTTCTGCAGCAAACATTTCAAGTCCTCCTCAGTTTTGACAAGCAAGGTTTTATCATCTACATAACACAGATTGTGAATAAGTCTTACTCCAATCCTGATGCCACATTCCTCCTCTTAAATCCAGCTTCCTGAATGATCTGTTCCACTTACAGATTGAAAAGGTATGCAGACAGGATGCATCCCTGACACACTCCCATCCTGATTATGAACCATGCAGTGTTTCCTTGCTTTTTTCTGAAGACTTCTTCCTGGTCCAAGTATAGGTTTCACATGAACACAATCAAGTGTTCTGGGATATTTCTTAATAGTAGGGCCATGCAAATATGGCATACGAAACTCTAACAAGGGAAATGGAACTCTCACAAGGAATACAGAACTCTAACAAGAGGATTAATCAGTCTTGCCTTCTTTCTAGGCTTAAGATGGACCATCCCAGAGAGAGATAGAGGGAATCTTGACCACCACCAAGAAGACCTAGTAGTGGAACATGTCCTTTAGACCCGAAGGTCACTGTGCGGAGAACTACCTAGACCCAGGTGACAGAGTTTTAACACTGGAGATTGTGCAGAATGGCAAGAATCAGGAGTAGACAAACAGCAGCAGGAGAGGCAGCCGAACCAAGAGACTGGCATGAATAGTGCAGTGGGAGAATAGTGAGAGAGTGGAGTCCCTTCAAGGCGTGCTAGAGGAGCAGGGTGCCTCCAGGCCCTTCTTGGTAGAGCTTTCTTTAAGTGTTTCGTTGGTGACAGAACGGTTGGCTATATGAACCCATCCACCAGCTGCTCTGCAGGAGAAAGATGAGGTGGTTTGCTTCTCAGGATTTAGGTCCTTGGAAACTTAGGGGTCACTGTGAACCACTCAATGGCAGTGGGTTTAGGTTTGGTTTAAAGAACTTCATAACACTTGCCTGAGCAAGGCAGAGGAGGGGCTGGCCCATGGTGCTCCAGATTAAGAGACCAGGGACCTGGGAGAGTCCTGCCTGTGTGCGCATCTGAGAGGAGGCTGTCCTGGCTGAAGAGCTGTGTTCTGAGTCTTTCCTTACCCTGTTACTTCCCTAATGAAACAACCACTGTGAGTGTGATCTTGGAGTGGTGAGTACTGTAACAAATTATCTAACCCAGCAGAGAGTACTGTGGGGGGATGACGGGTGTCAGAATTGCTAAAAACAGGAGGAGGTGAACATGACTTCTGCCTCATGGGATGTTGATCTAGATTCTCCTTCTCCCTAGCTAAATTAGAGATGGTCATGTGATACTACTCCATACCATTTTTTATAGAAACTGTGGGTTTCGTTCGTTTGTTTGTTTGTTTTCGTGATGAATTATTTTTTTT